CTGAACCTACCATGTAGAGGAAGGAGGAGACTTTAACTTCTAGTCCTTCTAGCTCCTCTTCCTAGTGCTGGGGTTAGTAGCACATTTCACCACTCCTGGTTCATGAAGACTGCTTTCCTAAATACCAGCATTTCAGATTTTTAACTTCTTGGGTGGGTTTGTGAAATAAATCATCTACTCTTACTTGAAAAAATCATGTTAAACAAAAGGTGGCCAAAAAACAACTGAAAATAGATATTACTGTGAAGACAGTAACATTCATTTTCTTCTTTACGATCTGATAAATACTTACATGTATTCCTGGAAGGTAATTAAGCCATCCAACTGCATGACAAAGATGAGCCATGGCCACTGGGCACAAGCCAGGGAAACAGTGAAGAAAGAACGTAATGATGAAACTAAATAGGTTTTTATGGCACATGACATCTCACTACTGAGACCTGGCTCATGGGCTTGTTAAAACTCATAATGAAGAGCAGCAATTTGAAGAGGGACAATATTAGCAGATGAAAACATAATACAACGTGACCTAAACAAACACCTGAATATTATTCTACCTGAATATTATTGTACCATGACAGGAATGAATGTAACTTTGAAAACACAATGTCAAGTGACACGTGTCACAAAAAGCCATGTTGTATGGCTGCCGAAGTGAGCACTATTTTTAGATGACGCACTTGGATTTATTCTAATTCACACGTGTATACAGTAGTGAGTACAGAAGCTGTGGCAAGTATGTATGACTTCATGCCAGGATTATGAGAAAAGTGTGCAGAGCAGTGATTGCTGAAGAACACTGTGAGTGTGCTTGTGTCACTGAACCCTTTAGAACATGACAGTGCTGTGTTATGTATATCTGCTAGAGGAGCAGAGGAGACACACAGGCCTGTATCCCAATACTCAGCCAGCAGCACCTATGCCCTCGTTCAAGCAGTGTTTGCCAAGTGCTGCCTTGTGTGGGGAATGCTTCTCAGAACCTGGGTTCTGTGCCTTTCCCTCCAGCCTCTTCCCAGAAGAAGTGATTCTCCCGCTACAGCTCCAGATATGCGATCTATCTGCTCCTTTCCTAGATCTTCACATTCTCCTTCTCTAAGTCTTTTTCCTTCCTTGCTTATTTTCATGAAGTGAAACAAAGATAGTCCTCACTGTTGGTCTCGGGCTCCAGGCCCAAAGAGCACACTAAGTTGGCCTCTTACTGCGTGTGTTACACAAACTCCTGATAGTGTACTTTGCGAATGCACAGTACAGTATGTCTTCCACCACACAGTGAAGAATTAAAGAAACAGAAGATAATCTCACAGGCTGCCAAGAAGTAACCAAAAGCTGTGATATAGTGGGTCACCTTACACCACACTGCCTGGCAATCCAACAACAATGTCCATGAGAACTACACAACAGCAATGCATAGGCAGAATCAGGAAGCCAGTCCATTACTGTGTTCTTCCACGACAAGATTAAAAAGTATACAAAAAAAAAAAAATTGAAACAAAACACTACTACTATCACCAGTTACATCAACCCCTGGTGAAAAACAATTTTGCTCAGCATCACTAGTTCCATGGAGATGTACTAGGAAAGAAGTTAAGATTTCTTAAGGCTTCTACTCCAGAGTACCATTTCCTTCTGAGAATACATATATACCCTAAGATATATACACAGATATAACACAGACAACAGCATGTGTGCACACCTTTAATCCCAGCATGTGGGAAGCAGGGGCAGGTGGATATATGTGAGTTCGAGGCCTTCTTGGTCTACAGAGAGAGAGAGAGAGAGAGAGAGAGAGAGAGAGAGAACTCTAGGACAGCCAGGGCTACACAGTGAAATCCTGTCTCAAAAACCAAACCAAACCAAAAAATGTGTGTATATGATTTAATTTATTCTTTGATTACTATCTAACTTTAAGCATAAAAACCAGCAGATGAGCCTTTCTAGGAACTGCATGACATTCTACTACAACATGAGAAACGTGAGCCCTGGACTCAAACAGCGACTGGATGGAAAAGCATCCAGGAATTGTGATATCACTGTGGCTTTCTGTACTGAGTTTGTCTTAGTAGATTCTTCACATCATCTTCCTTAGCTTCCTGCTACCCTCAGCCTTCCTTAATATTCCCACTCCTGCTAGGTCTCTTCTAATTTCATGTCTCATGTGTCCTTTTGCCCACTTCCACTGCTCACTTTTTGCTTTGCTTTTTAAAACATATAAAGTATGGACTAGGTCACTCAGTAAGTAACATCATATTAGAACAATATTGCCTCCATTTCCCAGGCCTTTATAGTTCCCATGTCCTCAATAACTGCCTATTGTGTGAAATATTGCTTTACATTCACCCTGATCCTTTATTTTTCCCTTTATACATGCCACAGTGAGAAAGTGAAATGATGTGCTTAATGGCACCATTTCTATCAAATAAAATGCACAGCTGCATTATTTCACAGTTCCTAAAGCTATCTGGTCAGGTATTCAGTAACACCTCCTCCACTGAGGGGCAATGGCCTCAACTGGAAGCTGGCCTTCTGGAGTCTGTGTGTGCTCTCAACAGTTCCTTCAGGACAGGTTTGTGGTAGATGAGAACTCCTCTCCTTGTCACATCGTGCATTCTTTCCTCTCTAAAGTTTGCAGTGTGTTTTCCACAGAGCTACCGAAAGCCTTACCTGTGACAGCCTCAGTGTCACTCACAAGAGAAGAGTGTGACCTATGGAGGGGCAGCCTTGACGGTGTTCATCCTCAGCATCTCAGAAGGGACACACATACTCATGACATTCTACTGACTCTGAATTGCCGTTACCTGCCTATCCTTCCTGAGATTTACAGGGACCATTAGGAAAAGCTTGACAGTAACTACAAGGCACTTTGATTCATCTTAGTAGTTCCAGCTGGCTATTAAAGCAGAGCTGAGTTTAATGTGGAGAACTCTGACCAAGCATACAGACTACATTCATGTGAGGGATGTTGCAACATGACATGCAGGTGAACTGTGAATCCTGGTTTGGCTGCACGTTTTGTTCTCCTGTAGCAGCAGCGTTTATCCAGGGTACTGCGCTATTTGTTTACTGTCCACTGTCCATGTCATTCTTCCGTGAGCTCTGGGGAAGGGTCTGTGTTTTCCTCTGATGTGTCCCAGGAGCCAAGAATGGTTCCTGCATAAATACTTTAAGAAATATAGGATAAATGCATCAGCGAACAAGGCTTCCCACAGAAGCCAGCTTCCTCACTATCTCCCAGCGTGGTCATAGGAGCACGGTCAAAGTTTATGAAAGAACTTTGTGTCTCAGGTGGTTCCTACGCAGGTAAGTGGAAATGCACCTCATGCCTCTCAATTCTGTGACTGTGTCCTAAAAGCGGGGCCATCTAGTATGACTGGACAAGTGAGGGAAAGGAGTCAGGGAGAAAGCAGAGAAACAACGGTGAATGTAGTCTCATTACCCCTATCACGGCTAAAGATAAATGCTAGGAAAATAGAAAAAAAAAAAAAAAAAAAAAACTTTTCTGAAAAGCATACAGATATGGGATGTACTAAGACTGGATTGGTTCTTTTGAGTATCTGTATGTTCTTAGATGTCTCTGTGTGTCTATATGTATGTGTACGTGCATAAAAAAGCCAGAAGTCTAGATTTGGTGTTACTCCTCAGAGCTCTCCATCTTTCTGCCAGAGACAGGGTCTCTTAGGAGGCTCTGGAGCTGCTAAACAGGCTAGGCTATGGCTGGCCAGTAAGCCCCAGGGTTCCTCCTGTCTCTGCTCCCCAACACTGGGATTGGAAGTATGTGCTACCATGCCTGCTGTTTATGTGGGTTGTGGGGCTTGAACTTGGGGGCTTACCCAGGAAGCATGCTACAGGCTGAACTGCCTCTCCAAGCTCTCCTCCATTTAAGACTTTTATTTTGTTTATTTTATTTTATTTTGATTGCGACAGTGTCTTATATAGACTGGGCTGGCCTTAAATTTGGTCTGTAGCTGAGGGCTGAGGATTACTCTGAACTTCTGATCCTCCTGCCTTCACTTTCCAAATGACAGCATCACAGGCAGAGCCCACCGGGATCCATTAAGTGCTCGACTCCAAGCCCAGAGCCATGTGCATGCTGGGCAAGCACTCTACCAACTGAGCTCCGTCTTCAGCACCCTGAAACCCAGGGTTTCCAAATCGTAACACTCTTCTAGAATCCTTAATCTTTTGCCAAATACTCTTACCCATCAGTCCTGCAGCTTCAACCCTTACCTTGCTGTGAGCCATATCCTTAGTACCCTTTGTGTATATAATCGCAGGAAGGGTATTATTTTCCCTGCCCGTATTCAAAATAGGACAAGTCTAGACAACTAGCTAGAAACAGGAAGGCCATAAGCCTGCAGTACACACCTGACCACACAGAACAGGCTGATGTTTGGGTTGTACAATGAAAATCACTAAAAGTTGACTGGGTTTATTGGTCCAGCCACGCTTTTCCAAAGCCAGCAACATGGGCAGCTGTTTCATCCCTGGTTATTGATAAATACAGGTAACAGCGTGCTCCACTGCAATTATTCTCCAGTACTGACTCATGCTTTGTCTACTCTATACAATTCTACTTGTGTAGATTCAACTAAGTTAAAAGCACAAACGGAAAGAAAAAAGGCAATAGAAACAGGTGAAATCATGAGAACACTTGTGCCCATTATGGACACTTGTTTCCTTGGTAAGATAAGGTATCTGACATAAAGTATATCACTGGTAAAGACACATGACATGGTGTTTCATTACTTACTAAATTCTCATAGTTCTTGGCCTTCAGAAATGAAGGTCCCAACATTTAGTGGTATTAATTTAGTCCCTAAAAGTACAGGAACCCACACTACAGGTGTCTGTACACAGAGCCTGTGTCATCAGATCCAAGTTCCCATGGTTGCCTTCCTTGGTGTGACTCTGAACTAGAACACACAATGCCCCAGCAAAAGTTCCGGAGAAAAAGGAAAGGCGCCTTTTCTCCCACATGAAATGATGCAGTACTTACCTTGGAGGCTTTCTGAGGGAGAGGTGATATTATCATCTTTGAACAGGGCCTGATACACAGAAGGAGCTGTACAAATCTCTCTTGTCATTGGTGTGAGATGAGGTAGTCTATCGGAAGAGGCACCACAGAGGGAGGATGTGCTTGTGCTTTCTAGGCACTAGAAAAAGGAGCATTACAGCATTACAAAGTATTAACACTGTCAAACATGGAAAAAACAGCTCTAGAGATTTAGTACTTTCTCTCTAAAACTGAATTTTACTAAATTCCTATCTAAATGAAGCTAAATAGAAGATCAACTGGGTAGGTGAGAAATCCGGTCATCAAACAAACAAACAAACAAACAAAAAACGCATACTCTGGTGTAATTTAGCAAATATAGATTCTGGATGACACAGTTTCCATAAAGTGATCTAGATAATCACTGAATCCGCACACATTATTAAAGACGACGCTGCCTATAGTGATGGCTCAGGGCAGAGATAACAAGAGGATGCCAGGAGGGGTACTCTGCAACTGCCTGAGCGATAATTTCTTTCACCAGCTCACGTTAGTGACTCTTAACACACGTTACAGACAGAAGGTGGCAGATGAGAGGTTCTGAGCACAGCCCTGCAACCCCAGCAGGCCTGAAACAAGTGCAGATGGCACAAGGGACAGGAGGGTAGTGTAGCATGCACAAGTGCTGCACTTTATATTTGAAGAAAAAAACAAAAACAATTTTGACACCTGGTGACATTGGGGTCTTCAGCAAATAAGGGAAGGAAAACCCTGCAAGAGGCAAACACAGAATGGCGCACTGCAGCATGTTTATGACAAGTGTGGTGTGTGTAGAGAGCAGACAACAAGAAGGGGTTCCTGTACTTTCCAGAGCCAAGGTGGGGAACTAACCACATAGGGATTTCCTCTGCAGCAGTCCCTGCATTTCTCTATCCTAAGTCCCAACAGCCTCCGCACCCAAACGGGTGAGTAAGCAACCACACTGAGAATCACAGGCCCAGGAATGGGCTATGATTTGAACTGCACACAGGTCCATGGAGATATGGGAGATGTGTGGGAGTGCAATTTACTGTGATTGGGATCACCTTACCCACTTAGTGCCCCAGAGGAATCTGATGGAACTAGAGCACTGTCCAGCCAACTCTCTCACTCATGTGTGTAAAGGCAGAGCACCCCAGGTGGGAGGGAACTTTCTAGTTGGTCTATCAATTCTGGTGCAGGAGAAGCTTGGAGGCAGCTCATGCAATCACTGTATTGCAGATCTGTTGGGAGATGAGTGCCATAAACTAGCCCACTGCTACCTCAGGTACTCGCAGGAAAGGCAGAGGTGGACTCAGCCTTCACAAAGTGCTTTCTGGGCAAGAGAGATAAAATGACCCAAATCCCCCACTACATTTATTGAAATTTCAGAATGAGAAGATTGTGAGGGGAAAAGCTTCTAGCGCTTACCTAGACTTTAAAGGAACCATATATTCATCCTTGGAGATGAACATAGGAGCTGGAATCTCTGCAAGCAGCCTGAGAAGAGTGGCATGACACAAAACAGAGTATAGCTGAGGCTTCAGCTGAGGGCCCAGGACATGGACATGCCAGGAATGTGGAACACATTATGAAACGCTGTGGGCAATGGGCAGGGTCGGTCTACAAGTGAGGTCACATGGGCTTCCAAGGACAATGCTATGAGAAGGGCATGCTACGACCTCTGTGGGCCTACAGGCTCACTACCATAGTGTACCCCATGTACCAGACATGGAGTCAAAGGACTTTACGTCTGCCTTCCTGAGTTCCAGTCTTGCTCTGTTGTAACAGGATGTTTACTCTGTGCCATTCGATCATAGAAAAATAACATATTTTTGAGTTTTACAGAGATAAATGTCTGCTTTGAATTTTTTGAACAATACTAGCACTGGCAAGATTTAGGGAATATTTTGAGATATCTGAATGTATTTTTATATTAAAAGACAGACATGAGAATTTTGAGCCAGAGGTGGAATGCTGCAGTTGGGATATCTCCCTGAAGGATTTCTGTACTCAAAACTTGATCACACATCTTATAAGAGCTTTGGGGATGTGACTGGATCCTGGGTTATCTGCCATTCTCAACAGATTAATCTATTATATGAAAAACCATATTCTAAGTACCTCAAATAGTTAAACTAGTATCTGACAAAGCTGCCTTCAAGCCTGAGTTATTCAGAAGAGACAAAAGTTAGTAAATACAAATAAAGGTATCCTTTATTTATTTTTTTGTAAATGAAATGCATTGAATCTGCTGTACTATGAAGGTTTTTTAATGACTAAGGAAAGCTTTAGTTGAATTTACAAGAGCAGACTTTGAAAGATCTGCCAGGCACTATTTTGGGAGCTGGGAATACATACCATCATCTTATTACATGAAACAACACAGGACAATCTGTCCTTTTATGTCTTATATACCCTAGGAGAGTCTCAGTATCTGCTATATCATAATATAGAGTAAATAATAAACTATAATAAAGAATGGCTGCCACAAAACACACAAAATCCCTTCTCAAATTCCTTAGCTATGTGACAATATGACATCCTGTATCTAATCTGCATCATTTATACAAAGTATTGGTACTTACCTTGGAACACTGCTATGGAGATTAAATAAGTAATGTATGAAAGACCCAAATTGCTGCAAGGTACCCACAGGATTTTCTATAACTGGTACTGAACCCTTTTTGAAGGTAGAACAGTTACTTTAACCACTCACCATAGCCTACTTCTTCTATACTGGTAAATGAACAGCAGGCCTTAAACACAGAAATGATACATGTTATTTATCTTGTCCACTGACTATATGACATCAAGTGAACAATTTTCATGGAGAAATTAGTTCTTTCAAAATTACTTTCAAGTACCTTCCAGAAGTCCTCCATTGAAGAAAAGAGAATTTTCCCCTATAAAAATATAATTTTAAGTGATATTAAAATGCAATAGTATTTGCTGTATTACAAAAATTATTTTAAAACAAGATGACTCAATCATACTCACTTGTGTTACTTTACATGTTGTTTTTCTTAAATAATGAATGGTGACATAAATTAAAAACATGATCATTAGTACATGGAATACAATTTCTATTTGTGTAATACTCTCACTTAAATTTCAAATGAATACTTAATGTGTTAACTTTTATTAATGAAGATACTATAGTCACATATTTCTTAAAACCAGAACTAAAATAGCCTTTAGAAAAAAATCAACTCACACAAAAACTGATTTCTGTACCACTTCTACACAACATTTTGTTCGTACTATGTACAATCATGGTGTCATCCACTGTAACTGTGGATACACTAGTGTTTCAGCTACAATTTTAAAACTTAAAGTTACTATTCCTGTCCATTGATGAAATGGATAAATAAATAATCAGCTATAAAAAGCAATGAATTATTAGTACATGTTAAACATGGATGTATGAAAGAAGACATGCACAAGAACCACAAAATATTTCATAAACTCATTTATGTTGTATCCAAAAGCAGCAAGCCCATGGAGAGAAAACAGCAGTAGTTTCCAGGTGCTAAGAAAGGCTAGCTGCTAGAACACCAGATGAGAAAGATCTGAGACTTGACAGCAGTGGTGACTTCACAGTATGATGAATGTGCTAAAGATCACCCAACTGTGTACTTGAAAAGGGTAAACTCAGGGCAATTTTCAATTAAGAAAGTAATGTTGCATTAGAGATCACGGAGTCCACATGAATGTGATGAGGAGAATAAGAAAGGAAGATGTCACATCAGGAGAGTTTCTGGGCAAGAGAAATCATAACATTTAATGACATTTATTAATTTAGTGTGTGTGACGGTCAGAGAACCATCTGTAGGAATCAGAGCTCTCTCCCTCCATCATGGGGGACCGGGGTTCCATTCCAGGTATTTGGGCTTGATGGCAGGTACCTTAATCCACCGAGCCGACTTGCAGGTCTAGTGAGGGAAACTGTGATGTCATATTTTAAAGGCACATTAACAGAAACACTGCTGTTGTGGTTTAAACATGTAAGGAAGATCTTTCCCACAAACTGAAAATTTTAAAAATGTTGCAAGAAGCCAAACTTGTCAGGTTAACAATCATGGCAGTGTTGTCAGTTATATTCTGCACACAAATGCAGCCAAGGCACTTAGCCTAGGAAAGGATTAACTCACCTTTCTAAGAAGGCTGATCCAAGACTCGACTAGTGAAACTTTCATAGATGCTGTTTCGAGGTGGTATTATTTCAAGAAAAAAAAATTGTACGCACAAGGATCTTGCTGCAAGAAAGCTGCCCGGAGGTGAAAGTAATGTTCAGCAAGCCAGTGAGTCTGCAATGTCTCGAGAGGACGGCAATGCGCATTCATCTTCTGACTTTAGCATCCTCACAAGATGGACAGCACCACAAGCTCTCAGTTAAGGGACAGTGTTTAGAGAGTGATACAGAACTCTGGCATCCTCTGCAGGGGACCGTCAGCTCAGAGGCCTGCACACACTCTTGGCTGAGTCTCCATTATCTGTGCTTGTCTGAGGACTTATGGTGCTTCTTCTCCTCCTTATCTCCAGAGCCGTCCCACTTTTCCTTCTTCTCTATCTTTTCCTTATCGTGCCCAGAATCCTTTTTCCCGCTTGATATTTTATCCATCTTCTCAGGTTTAAATGAATCACCTTTTTCTTTACCTGAGGATTTTGACTTATTTTTTTCCTTGTCTTTCTCATTTGTATAAGACTCGCAGGGACTTTCACTTTTGTGTTTTGAAACCCCTAATATTCCATTTTCATCTTTCCGTCTCTTGATTAAGTCGAGGGGAGCTTCACGGTCATTGTTGGAATAATCCCTTTTCCGCTCTTTGCGGTCCTTTTCCTCCTTTTTCTCCCTTTCTCTGGATCTTTCCCTTGATTTGTCCAAGTCTTTCTTGTCTGTTTCTCTCTCTTTACTCTTGCATAGTGCTGGTGGAGCGTGGTTGGTGTAGAGCTTTGCTGAGGACTCCTTGAGTTTGACAAGACTGTCCTTCACTGTGGAGGAATGTGATGGAGAAGGATGGGAATCAAGCTTTCGACGCTTTTCTCTTTCGGGTTCTGTGGTCTCTGCTCGGGAAACAGGTGACTTCAAGGACACAGACACTGGTGCTTTTTCTCCTCCTTTCACATTCTCTTTTGACTTCATTTCCTTTCCTAAATCTCTTTCTCTTGATGGCTCTTTCTCTTTTTCCTTTTCTTGAGTAGATTTTGATTCTACACTGGGGACAATGACCCTGAATTTCTCATCTTTAGCTTTTTCTTCCTTCTTTAATTTTTCCTTATCTTTGTCACATTTAGGCATTCTTTCCTTGGTCTCTCTTATTTTTTCATCTTTATTCGGCTGTTCTTCCTTGGGTTTTTCTTTACTGTCTTTACCAGGTACCCTAGCCTCTGGAGTAACCACTGGGGTCTTTTCTTTTTTCTCTTTTTCTTTCTCTTTGCCTTTTTCTTTGTCATTTTCCTTCACAGCTTTGGTGTTAGAGCCACTGTTTCCATTGCTTGGATTCCCTTTTGGTGCAACACTGGAAGCTTTGTTAACAGTTTTCACTGCACACTGGGCTCTTTCCCGAGACTTCTCAGCCTCCTCAGTCACGCTCTCATCTGATTTAGATGTACTTCCCACAGATGAAGGCAGCCCACTATAAGGCCCATTTTGTACACTGGTGGCAGCATTTCTTGGAGGAGGGTCTTTGTGATGGAATTCATTTTCAGGTATCATGTGTGACTTTCTACTTTTCAGCTGCCCAGAGTAGACCATAGCTAGTGCATAGAGATCTGGTTTCTTCTCTTTCTCTTCTTGGCAGATTTTATGCACCCTTCTTTCCAAAGCCTGACCCAGATTTAAAACTTTGGGGTACCAAGGCAGTATTTTTGTTAGCACAATCAAGATATTCCTGATGTGAGTATATTCACCGGTTTCAAGGCAATGTACTGATGCCTTGGTTAGCTTGTAATGCCATTTGTGGACAACATGCCGGAAATTCTCATAGTCCAACTGGTCTGCTTTATTGCCACCGTCAAAGCCAGTGGCTCGTAATATAGTGAGGAATCCTGGGTAGTTTCCACACTCCTTCTCATAGGTGGACCTGTCACTGTGCCACCGCGTCACGGTCTCTAACATGCAGCAAAGAAACCTCCCATATCGACTAGCTTCATTTTCAGTAAAGCTAGCCACCATGTAAATTATGTCTGAAAAAACTCTGTCATAGCAGAGAAGTGTGGAGAAATTTGGAGTCTTCTGCTGATGGACTAACTCAACAAAATGAGCACAGTAAACAGAATCAATTGCTGAAAAAATACATCGAGGAAATATACACAACTGCAGGAACTTTGTGATGGTCTCATTTTTAGTAGACTTTGCTAAGAGCCAGTTGTCCTTTTCCAATTTCAGTCTCTGTAGAACTCGCTGTACGTGCTCCATCTGTTTCTTTTCTTCTTCAATAAGCTTGTCCTGAAGGGCAGTGCAGCGCTCTTTCTCCTTTTTCTTTTTATTTAGGGGCATTTCCTGGTTGTCATCAATTGCTTTCATCTGGACCTTCAGTTTATTGACTTCTCGTTCATAGCTGGTATGTGGAACTGCAAGGTCATACATTGTCAGAGACCAGAATGTGGTGTAGAACTGAGGGCTGATATCTTCCCAGACTTTGGAAACATGCAAGGATATCACTGCTTCGTGGACAGGAGCCATCACCATCTCACACGCCGTGATGTACTTATGAACTTTATGCTGTTGTTTACTACCCTTCTCTGACTTCTTAAGTTCATCATACTTTGATGAAATGTGATGGGCATACATTGGCCGTGACAGAAAAAATGCTGCATCGTGGGGTGTGTGGAACTCATTACAAAGCACGTCAATCGAAGGTACTCTCCTTATGTAATCATCTGTGCTGAGATTTGATGCTAAAAACCCACCAAACTGTACCAAAGTGTCATGACACTGGTCATATAGCTTTCCTACAAGTTTCAAATGCTTCTCTCCACCTTCCTGAAAGATCACCCCATTCCTCTGCTGAGCCATAAGCAAACAAAGAGGAAGGGCAAGATCATGGTCCAGCAGTGCATCTTTCAGTCTCTGAGACGACTTTTTAGTGTTTCTAATCTGGCCAAAATATCCACCTTCAGCTTTCAGCTGCTCCCCACCAGTCATAGCCTCCAGCTGCTCCATTGTCATTTCCTCTGTAACTTCTATTCCTGCCATTTTTTGTACCACTTCTTTTAATATAAGCAGGTCAAAACTTTTGCCTGCCTTTAATTGATTGGCTACATACTGAAGAAGACCAGCAAGATCAATCGGGTATTTACGAAAAACCGCACCACAAAAACTAGCCAGACTCTGAAGCCAGTTTGAGATGGTTGTATCATCATGTTTCATTCTTTCTTTTTCTGGATTAGCAAGTGCTTCAATGATACAATAGGCTAAAACATCATAATTCAATGCAGTGAGGTATTTCAATGAATCTACCACAGGTGTTATTAAGTTATCATACTTCTGTATTTGTGACAAGATATAATCAAATAAAATGGTTGGATTGCTGTGGCTCAGTTTTCCAATCTGTCTTCCAGAAGGCTTCACATTTTCCTTGGTTAGACGCTTCATGATGTATTTGGCTCTGTCAATTGTATGAGCTTTAACTTTTACTAAAAGTGGATGGCTGTTATAAGTCTCATTCTTCCACTGGCCATACAAGCGGTATCTATGCTGATAAGGAAATGTTTTAAACATTCCCCATAGTTCCTCTGACATGCATGCATTGCAATCCATCAAAGAAAGAGATGGAAGCAGTACTTGGTCAGTAACACTAAGCAAACAACTAAGGATGACTTCCATTTTTTCTTTATTTTCCTGTTTCCCATCAGACTGAAATTCCTTCATAAATGACTTGCCTATACGCACAACCTTTGCAAATAAGATGGGATCGTGAGAAAGATGAGGACCAAGGTAACAGAACATACTGAATACATCTCTCCTTAAGTCTTCAAAGCTCTCTGCTTGCTTTGGTGCCTTCCTGTTTCGTAAAACATTGACAGGTGAGCCCTTGGCACCCTTAGGAACACCAACTCTCCGGTAAAGAGGCTCAATAGTTATGTGTATAAGATTGCAAATAGCATGGGCTATTACTCTATGCGATGCTGCATAGTATGGAGGCATCCGATCCATGATGCTCTGCGCGTGCTGCCAATCACCAATAGCTAACAAGGCTTCCAACAAACCAAGCTTTTGATTATCAGTTGCCTTCTCTACCTTATCATCTTTTTTCTTTTCTTTCTCTCGCTCATCACTTTTTTCAGAAGGCAATACTACCATTGTGAGCTTTTTCACAATTTGCTTGGCTTCCACAATGTCTCGTTTGTATTCATTCATGATACAGCTGTCAGCCGGAAGAAGGTGCACATAGAGGTCATCCAGATCGATAAGACTGAACTGCAGGAGCACTGCTGCAGCTCTGTACAAGGACGGCGGAGTCTCACCATTAGGCTCCTGGTAAAACTTGAATTTGAACCCAAGAATATGACACAATGTTTGTGGTTCACACATACTCATGTATGCTTCTAATAATGATATAAAGAAATCATGGTGTTCTGGCCTGTACTCAAACACTTCTAAAATGATATCCAAAACTCTATTGGGATCCAGATTAAAGCATCCAATTAAAGACTTAAGAATTTCTAAGATCAAATCACTAGTAATATTTCCAGATAAATCTTGTCCCAACTCAACAATCAGCTTGGCATAACCTTCATTTTCTTCTCTTAACAAATTGAACTTCTGCTGTTTATAAAAGAGTTTCGTTTTGATTTTGACTGACTTTTGATTGAACTGCTGTGATTGTTTGATAAGGCCTAATGATTCCAATGTTTCTGGATCCAAGCGTTCCTTTAGAACTGTATCGGAAACTAAATATAAACACGCTAATACCAATTGTGTAAAATGATCTCTCTTGCTTTTTTCTTCTAAACAATTTGTCTCAATATCTAATATGCAGAATATATCAGCAAGAATAAACGGAATATCTTCTCGAAATTCACTGATGTCACTAAGAACATTTGATGCCTGTTCGGGCTTTAAAGTTCCTTTAATGACATGATATGACAACTCATAGAGAGCTTGTTGGAACTCTCTAGAAGCTAAAGTGTCGCGGCTTTTACTTTCACTGAGAATCCGGCATAAACGCAAAAACTCGCCTCTCCCAGATTTCTCCCAGTTCTTGATCCACTGCGCAGGAACCACCACAGTTGCTGAAGCCATCGCCATCTTCTCGTCCCTAGTAACAGAGCCCCGGATGTGCAGTTCGCACCTGCGCACTAACACTGAAGCCTGCTGGCGTCCAGGGAGAGCCCCGCCCACGGCGAATGCTGGGTGCTGAGTATTCCGGAAGAAATGGTTTTAGGGTGTTTTTTTTTTTTTTCCTTTTTTTTTTTTCCTGGTTCAGGCACTGGAAGCAGGGAATGCCAGATGTTCAGTGCTGCAGTTTGCTGTAGGTCACTGCAACAAAGAAAGAGCCAAATAAACTTCCAACCGGCAGCAGCTCATGAGGTCCCTAAGCCAAACTCCTCCACCGAGGAGCTGCAGGTGAAGGATGTGCTTACCTTCCTTCCCCATCCTTTTTCGAGGTATCTTTGGATTACAAACCAACAAACCCCATTGTGTTTATATCGGCTTATGTGAAAAAGCCAACTCTGCCAAGCTGTTCAGTAGACCCTGTGGCTGCGGAGACGGCTGTCTTCAGAATTCCACATAAACCTTGGCATCTCCTCAAGCTCAATCTATGCTAGAACTGCTTGCTCTCCCTACGTACACTAGGGCATACTTCTCGGTTTCCCCAAGTGGATTCTCCATTCCTCTTGGTTCTGCTCTTTCCCTAAGAATGACCCTTTACTGACTACCACCTGAGATCCTTTGATTTGATAGGCTAGGGACGGTTGAAGTTAAGCTTTCCTCCTTCTGTATTTCATTCTTCAGCCATGGTTCTAGTGGGGGCCATGGCTGCTGGAAAAATCTTTTTGCCCTGTAGCTGCACCATGCCACTCTTCTCCGGTTCCCTCTAAGCCTGGAAGTGCCTCTTCCTCCCCTGCAGTTACCCTCAACTCTGCCACACCTTATATAGTCTCTGCCTAAAACTTGCCTTGATTTCCACTGTGGTTCATCATCTTTGTCCACAGAGGACAATGCCCATTTGCCTCCTTGTCTGCTAACCAAATCCTGTGTAGAAATCTCTAACCCAAGCCACAAACACTTTCAGTTCATACTGGGTGAACCAAGGGGGAGACAGAAGATAATATGAAGATGCAGGTTTGGCATATGGCCATGTACCTACTGCTTATATGGAACTAAGTGAACTTCAGCTTCCTTTTCTGTAAGACAGAACAATTATCTACTCCATAGAATTCTGATACTGAAATAAAAATCATTAGAATTTATCCAGAAATCACTATTCGCGCTTGTGAGATAGAAACCATACATAAAGATAGCCTAGTGCTAATTTGTTCCCCCAGGAGAGCTCACAGCACCCCCAAGGCATCTTGTCCATCTTCCCACAGAAAAACTGAACACAGGCACTATACACTCTTCGGATACAGAGTAGTAGTTCTTAACCTGTGGGGTGAGACCCTCTTTGGGGTTGTAGATCAGATATTTACATTATTACTCATAACAGTAGCAAAGTTACAGTTATAAAGTAGCAACATGGGGAGTCACAAAATGAGGACCAGTACTAAAGGGTTGCAGCATTAGAAAGGTTGAGGAACACTGCCCTAAAGTCAACAGCAGGGTTAAGAAGACTTGAAGGTGTAAGACAAATCTTCAATGCCAACTAAATGATTAAGACTACTTTCAATTAATGTGACATTATAATGGATAAACTGTACTGGTGTGTCCTGTCAGTTTATTGCTAAAAATAATTTTTAAAATAAGGTTTTTTTTAAAAAAACTTCTAAATATGATAGGTATATGCAAAGACACATTTTAGACCATGATTTTAAAATGTTTTATTTTCTTTTCAGCCTTTGGGCTGGCATCTGTTGCTGAGATTCTCAGGGTCTGTAGGGTCTTTTACTGCTTCCAGAAAGAAGTGACAGACTTACTTAGTTGTTTAGCACTCTCTGCTGCACAGGCAGAGAAACCACTAGCTTTATTTAAAAGACCATGGAGATAACCAAAACTCCTACACAGATGTAGCCCACAGCAGTTCAGTCTCCAAGTGGGTTTCTTAGTAAGGGGAACAGTTGCTGTCTCTGACATGAACTGGCTGGCTCTTTGATCACCTCCCCCTGAGCGGGGGCAGCCTTACCAGGCTACAGAGGAAGACAGTGCAGCCAGTCCTGATGAGACCTGATAGGCTAGGGTCAGACGGAAGGGGAGGAGGACCTCCCTTATCAGTGGACTGGGGGAGGGGCATGGAAGGAGATGAGGGAGGGAAGGTAGCATTGGGAGGGAGTGAGAGGGGGGCTACAGATGGAATACAAAGTGAATATAGTGTAATTAATAAACAATAAATAAATTTAAAAATATAAGAAATAAAAGACCTATGGTCATCCTACTTGAACCCAGACTTTGTCCTGAGCCAGGTCTGTGGATGACATCTACACAAGTCAGGAACCACAGTCCATCACAAGCCTAATGTAGACAACAGATCGAAAAGTCCTAGTTTTGGCACTGAATAATCTGTGTTCCATGTTGGATATCTTTCTGCTTCTGCCTCATGACTCAATGTGTTGGTGTCTTAGGATCTTGAACAATTGTTGACACTCCTGAGCTTAACCTGAGTTACCTAGCAAGTGAGAGTAAGATCATCAAGAGCTTCTGTGAAGTCTAAATAAAGCAGTGTATGTGAATTTCCAATTACAAAGGAAAATACCCATTCACTTCTTCCTTTCTGGATGGAAAATTCCCATGAATTCTAAAGTAAATACACTGTGAAGGACAAAGTAAGAGAGTATGTAACTTCAAATGAAGACCAAAAAGAATAATATTAAAATTTCAGGTAACAGACACATGCATCACATATGACATTATTCTTTATTTCACTCGTTTTAACACTTGAATTTCCATTTTTATTTTTTTTTTCACAAAAAAAATCCAAATATACACCAAAACACAGATCACTAAAACAAACAGCACTGGAACTAAGAAGTTGCTTTCAAACACACAACCACTTCAAATAGCTAATGCGGACTATCTTTATTGTTTCTATTGTTCAAAGAATATACGTATGAATATTTAATAATAGGGAAATATAAAATTTTATCTACTACATAAATTTCAATCACTTAAATAAAAAAATCAAAGAAAAATGTAAAAAAAGAAAAACAGAAGATAAAAGATTACTGATTACAGAACATGAAATGTAAATGGACTGGAATGCTCATTAGATGAGCAAGTTCCAGTAACTGGTTAAAAATTTAAAAAGGCATCTCTAAGATTTTTAGAAGATCACTTAAAATGGATACTTTATGTAAAAAAGAAATCTTTTAAAAAACATTAAGGACAAATTCTTTTTGAACAAGTTAAGTGATATTATACTCGTTAGATAAAGAAAATGACATGGTAAGTAATGAGTTTGAGAACAGTTACTTTATATTGGGGCTGGAGAGATGGTTCAGTAATTAAGGATGCTCACTGCTGCTGCAGAGCACCTGAGTTGGGTTCCCAGAACCCACACTCAGTGGCTCACAATGACATGTAAATCAAGCTCTTGAGGCTCTGACATGTTCTTCTGGCCTCCTCCACACACATCACACAGAGACACAGATACGTGTAAATAAAACATAGTAAGATATTTAAAATTATTTTGTATGTTATTATAGTGATTTGACTATCATTATTCTTAATATATTGATCAAAGCATTAAGACACAATAAAACAAGCTAAAAACAGCTGTTTCTTATGACTGCTCTTATAAGAATATCCTGTTGATTTTCAACTCTTGGAATTTAGGTATAGACTGTGGTTCCTGACTTGTGTAGACATCATAAGGAAAATTAACAAAGACACACTATCAACAACTGTCTCTCAGTCTTGATAAGCTGTTAATACTAAGGGGCTCGGCATCTATAAAAAAAAAAAAATCAAACTTTACATATCCTGGGGATCCCTTGCCCCAAACTTTGACATGTGAAATTGGCCACAAAGTCTGCTTTTACTTAATCAACAGATGCAAAAAACTAAACTTATATAACACAAACTTTGTTTCATACACAAAAAGTGTTGCATAAAATTACCTTGTATATAAGGCATATACAAACGGGTTCAATCTGTAAGCTATATCAAACATATGAAAATATATCAAAAGCTGGTACAACTCCACAAGTGCCAAATACTTCTGGTTCTAAGTGTTATGGACTAGAGATACTCAATCTATGCTACACCAAAAAAGATCTTTCTTCAAGTATTCATTTAAGATTTACAAAAACTGGTGGTGTTAGCTCACAAAGGGAACACCAAATTCCTAAAGTTGAAAATCAACAGAGTATTCTTATAAGAGCACAATCATAAGAAACAGACACATGAAGACGCCATAGGAAGACAAGAGGATTGGAGTGATGAAGCTACACAGCAAGGACACCAAGGATTGCCCCAATACCAGATGTGAGGAAGAGGCCAAAGAAGATTCCCTTCTAGCCTTAAGAGGCAGCAGAGACTTGCTGATGCCTTAATTTGGGACAACTAGCCAGATACAATAAAGTCCTGTTGTAAGACAAAACATAGAGCAAACAAACTTCTCAAATAGAAACAGAACAATACAAGACAGTATGCATATGACGTTATGCTATGAAATTTAATTAACAAAAATATAACCAAGTGTGTGTGTGTGTGTGTGTGTGTGTGTGTAAAATTAAGCCACTCAGAAAAAACAAAAACAAAAACAAAAACATGTTTTCATAATAATCCAGGGTCATAGAGGAAACCTCAAATTACATAAAAATGTCAATGCAAAAAACAGTAGCTCCAATGTACTTTCATGTCAGAGTATAGATTTATGTTGTGAAATGAAGCTGTCTCTTTACACAGAAAACCAAATTTCTTTAGCAGCTTTGCATTGCACCACATTCCACAGAAATGTGGTAGAGATCAAATAAGGAAAGATATTTGATGGCATTCTATGAAATAAATATAGCATATATGATCACAGAGTGCATGTAAGTCAAATAATTACTAGGCTTGGGCAGATTTAAATGTCATCAACTTTCAGGAACAAAATCTAGATATGAGTGGATAAGAAATACTGAGCAAGAATAGAAACGGACAAGGGTGGCCACAGTGAGTGAGGCTCTCTGTACATGCAAGCACCTCTCTTTCCTTCCTGTGAGGATGACAGATACAGGGAGCCTGAGGACATCTGTCAAGAGTGGGCTCAGAAGAGCAGCACAGCTGAAGGGGGCTGTTTTGGTTGGGTATCCACAGAGATTTTCCCTGATCTGACTCCTGGACTGATCTAGAAGGATGAAGAATGATAATGATTTTTGGGGGGATTGAGGAGGGAGTTA